TATGGTATAAATTGATTTTGCTAAATGCAATTCTCTTTACTAAATACACAAGGACTTAAAATTTAAAAAAGCGTTTCAATTTCATTAACTTCAATAAGGGTTCTCTTTCCTTCGGATGAGACCGTATAAACCGTGGCCCCGTGTCACAGCAGGTGTAGCATGATAAAGATCCCCCCTGCTCAAAGGCCCTGAGTGCCGAGCATAGGCCTAAATTTGCAGTCCTTCACCGGCAATGGTGACGTCTCCATATCAGTGAAATATTCTGGAGAGGGACGTTAAACAGTATCTAATCAATCAATCAATCCATATACAGACTATTATTTAAATTTTATTTCTGTCTGATAAAAACAAGCGTAATTTCACTCAAAACGCTTTATAATTAATTTCCAGCAGTGTCAACAATCCTGGACACTTTTCAAGTGAAAAAAAAATCAAATTTATTTTTCTTTATCTAAGGTTTTTCTACTGATAATCAAGAATTGAATTCCATTTCTCAAGATACAAGGCAAATTTATAGCTTCGAACCTTTGTTATGTAAACGGGGCACATGCCATGTATTTGTTTACTGAATAGTTTAGTATATTATATTAATATATGTTCGATCAAAACAGATAGTTCAAAAAACAAAAAGGCAGTTTATAGTAAGGGGTATATATGATAAGAGCCAATTTTGGCCCCCTAAAAATCAACATTTTAGAATGACATTCAGATATGTTTTATTTATATTTATTTTGTAGAAGAGATTATATTAGAAATATTTCCAATATATTTTTCATATTAATATGCACTCACTAGCTGTAAATGACATGAAAAATAATGCTATTTATGCTATCTAACAAAAAAACCCCAAAAATATGCCTTTTTCTTGATGTTTTTTCTTATGGGAAACATAGAGCGCAGTGTAGAACATACACAATTTTTCTGTCACTAATTAGTGAATATATACATCTTTGGTAAAAATATAAATCTTGTTCTAGGCTGCGCTCTATATTTTCTGAAAGAAAAACTGCTTGAAAATAAGCAGTTTTATATGCTAAATATGCTAAAATGGCGGGAAAACGTGATTTTTATGATATCATATTTCTAAAATAACGGCATTTTGATCAAAATGAAAATGTCCAATAATGGTCGCATATATAGCTGTACAAGTTCAAAGCTATATATGAAGTAAAATTAAGATATCCATTTTAAGGGGCCAGTTGAAACACTTACCATATATCACTCTTTGATGAATTTAGTTTTGTTATAAATGTGAAATTTCAATATGTAAACGAAAATAAGGCACCTTGTCTAAATTATGAAGGATATTACGTTCTACATCTCCTTTGCAAATCAACGAATTTTGTTTTTTCTAATCATAAGAATCGTCATAGCTAGGTTTTGGAACACGTTAAAATAGGTTTTTAAAAAATCCAGTTGAATCTGTGTTCATGTGCCCTTTAGCTGATATATTTTTAGTTTACCTTAGCTGAAACCTCAAGTGAACATTTCTGATCATCCGTTGTCCGTCATCCGTCTGTCTGTTAATTTTCACATTTTCAAGTTCTTCTCAAGAACCATTTGGTCAATCTTAACAAGTTGGTAGTACAAGGCATCTTTGGTAAAGGAGTCCTAATTGTTGAAATAAAGTTCCTTGCCCCAAACCAAGGAGAAATAATCGAAAAAAGAGATAAATAAGGTGAGTTCGTTGAAGATAAACTGTAACTCATATGGAGGTTATTCGGGGTATTGAACGTTTGAATTATTTAACTAATGGCCTTAGAAATTGGGTGGGGCCACAAAAGAAAAAAATGCATTTAAATATATAAAAAAAAATCTTCTATGACGAACCATTAAGCAAGAAAGCTGAAAAATATGTGAAAGCCTTCTTGGGTGGTGTATTCGGTAAATTATTCAAATCTTAGCCCCTAGGGGTTAACTTGAGCCACTATAAGGGAAAAATTTACTTTAAAAAATAGTGTGAAAATAATTTTTAAAAATGCTTCTCTCAAGAACAACTGCAATCCTAAACTAGATTTACTGTGAGCGATGAGCTCACTAAATGATACATCACCGCCTCCATTTAGTTATAATGGCAAAGTCCATGTTTTGCTGTGGCCTTGAAACCCAAATTTATGTCGGATCAAAAAGTAAAATAAGAGGTGCACAATGGCAATTTGTAATTAAGATTCTGTGAAAGTTTCATCAAATTTCATTCAGTGGTATGAGAGGAGTTGCGGATAAGAGATGGGTACCCCAAAGCGTAACAGACAAACGGAAGGACGGACGGACGTACAGACAGACAGACAGACGGAATTAACGATTACTATATACCCTCCCGCTTTTCAAACGGGGGTATAAAAAACAGACACTTTCTGAAATACATGTATTTTTGTTCAATTCATTGTCCCTGCAGCTGGGAGTTATGTGGGTTAACAGTATAAAGGAAAACATTTTTTGTAGGGTAGTGCAGATTAAAATCATGGTCCCCGGGGATAATGTGAGGCTACATTAAGGAACAAAATTTTACATCAACAAGAGATCTTAACAATAATTATTCGTAAAACATCCTGAAGTAGTGTAAATTCTAATTTGTTCAAATCGAAGCTCCAGGAAGTGCCTCAATAAGGATTCAAATTGCAAGGGTACTTAACACAAACAAAAAATTAATGTATGGAATGAAATATATTTTTGACTGATGTTGATTTGAAATGACACATATGATAAATCCCTAAAATATAAAGAAATCGTGGGTTTTCCTTGGTGCTTAGATATGAGATTCTGTTTTGCTTCCTTTATAATTCCATACAAAATTTTGCACAAATTTTTAACCTTATGACAAAATCTTGCAGAATTTTCCCAGTATACGTGGTACACATTTTTCTGATTTAGACCAATTTAGATGAAAATCTATGAGAAATATTGCTGATTTCTGATTGTGTTTTTTATCCTTAAAACTGAAATTGATAGGAAATATCTTTTAGATCTTCCTAATGGCAACTGGATTAGAAAACTTGAATTTTATATGAAAACTTCTTTAGGTAGTAAAGATGTCATTTTTGTAAATTATGACCCACGTAGTTAAGTTGTGGCCAAAAAAGAAATATTGCTAGCATAAGGATGGGATATAAGCCAAATACTCTCTCTTTCTCTCTCTCTCTCTCTCTCTCTCTCTCTGTATGTGTGTGTGTAAGGGTAATAGGGTGTGTGTTTGGATTGGCCTTACTTTGGTAAAAGAATTTTGGCCTTACTTTGGTAAAAGAATTTTAACTTTGGTCTTTTAATTCAACAGTTGCAATGGAATCTGAACCAGAAGCAGAGATATTTGTAAGATTTTAAAGTTAATTTTTTATATCCTTCCTATTTTTTATTTAGATCTTTAAATCAATACAAAAAAAAAGAAATTCATGACATAAATCTATCAGAACTTTTTTCTTGTGTTCTGATTATACTTTAAATTGTTAAATCTCTTATTTGTTAAAATGAAGAAATTTTTTTTAGAATTCAACTTTTGTAAATCTCTATTATCTTTTTTTCTCTAGGACAGCAAGCCAAATTACAGATTTTATTTAATTCTTTTATAGGGAAGCCAGACTGATGTGTATCCAAATGCTCTGTCTATGCACCTCTTAAAAGTTGGGCATTGGAGAATACCGAAGAATGTTATAAAGAAATCTTTTAGCCACAGATCCATCGAGTACATAAATGGAGAGGTACACAATGAAATATACTTCTTTTTATAAATATTTTTTTCAGTAATTTATGTCTTTGTAAATGCAGAATGCTTTGTTTCAAAAAGTCATTCCGGAGTTCCTTTCAATTATAAGTTTTTTCAAATTTCTTATTATTGTATTTCAATCTGACAAATTCTGCAAGCAGAAAAATTTTATGTCTATATTCAGCACATTATGATTGTATGGGTAGAATAAAAGCTACACTAAATTGCTTGTGATGTTTCGAAAAAACTAAATTCTACAAATTATTGGGTTTTATGATTTTTTTTTCTATTCTGAAAAAAATGTTAAATTATAATCCGTAAGTTTAGCATTCTAAAACAGGTTAGGACAGATTTCCTAAAAAAAAAGAAGAGTTTTTTACTCTATATGTATAAAAACACATCAAAATGATTGCAATAACAATTTCCTTAGATAATCAAATTAAAGTTCGAATCCGTTATTTTCAACTTCTTACCGCAGAACAAATTTGATTTTCTAGCATTTTTATGAAATTGATACTAAAAAAAATATCATATACACCTGTAGATCTCCGTATTTTTCTGAAAGTCAAGTGGAACATGTAAGATGGGTATAAGTTTTCTTTGATGGAAAACTGCCTGGAGTATCCTTAATAATTAGTACGTTACTCTCATAAAACATTACAGAGTATGAAAGAGCAATTTTCGGACGGTTTGTGGAGAGAATTACAAGAGATCTCTGCAGATGCATACCGACCTCCAGCCTGGATGGAAACTAGAAAATGTAAGACTTAGTTTAGATACATTTTAAGGAATGAAAAGAAAATAAATTGTGCCGTATAGTAAAGTTAGCTTTAAGTTATAATTGAAATTACAAAAATTACAATGTGTTTCATTTTTTTATTTTATGCACAATACAAGTATTAGACAGTGTAAACTTAGTAGAAGTTAATAGAAAACTCTTCATGTAAAGAAGGTTTTTTGTGGTCTTTAATTAATAATTTGATCAATTAGCAATACCCATTTTTATTCATATGTTTATTCAATTATTTCCAAACAATTATTTGGCATAATAATCGAGGGAATCTTTTTCCTATTGCTTGATCTTTAAAAATTAATATGAAGGACGTGACTGCTTGACAAAGGATGTCTACTATTAAATGGTACTTCGATGTTTCCTCGTATTTTTCTATATGTAGAGTTGACTTTTGAGACTGTTTATCTTTAGCAATCATATCAGTGCAAGAAGGCTGTAGATACTACATGTATATAAATATCGCATATATAATTCTTTTCTCTCATTTCTTTAGACCCAAAACTGAATGTAACTACATCCGAACTGTATGGCCTGATATTCTACGCTTTGCTCTTCCGAAAATTTTATCTTGGAGCGAAACAATTGGTTGAAACCGGTTGTGTAAGTAATATAAAAATCAATGTTAATAGTTTTTTTTTCTTGTTCACTTCTGCTGTTAAAGATTAGGTCGTCCACTTGGACGTTGCAAAGTTTTCTTCAAAATTTTAATACCTTTGTTCCTTTGTTTTATGAAAAAATTCAACTATTTCCAGATCTAGAGAGAATAAAGATATGACCAGCAAAGATCAACAAGCTTTCAGAATTACTTAATAAAAAATCACTAATTTTTAAGTTGATTGTAAAAAATTTTACAGGGATCCAATATTTGTATGAATATGCCAAAGAATATTGTACGTCTATTTATTAGATGTATTGGTGAACAAATGAATTTTTGTGTGATGATCGAAAGATTTCTTTTTTTCAGGTACGCATTCGGCATATCTTGGTTGGATGTGTTATTTTACAGCAAGAGGAGAATAATTGGCAAACAAGTCAATTGGAACAAGAACAGATACAGCTTATGCACAGGTAGAATTGAAATAGAAAACCTTTAAGCAGCAAATTCATAATGAAATTAGTTGCTACATTTTTATCAATTTGGTTCAGTCGCTGCTGGGTTTAAAACCTAGAACTTCTGATCATGGAGCAATCGCTCTGTTAAAAAGAGGTCGTAGGCTTGAAACTTGCAAAAAATACTTATTTTAAAATGAATAAAGAAAAAAATGATTTGAACAGAAGGAACGGGATTTTTATTTTTTTATCCTTTTTTCTTTGCTTGTTTGCTTTTTTGTTTTATTCTTTAATATAAATATATTTTTAATTCCTAACGCAAGGAAATCTAAGTAGCAGCGGTAATACCGGTATTTCATCTAAATGTTCATAAACATTTGTATAAACATGAAATGAATACATTCTTCTTTAGTTCTCCAAACAGATTACCCCTATTTCAATCGATTATAGCTAAAGTAGTCAGAACAAGTTTTTTTCAAAATCGTCTATATTAAAGACGTAGGCTCTTTCAACAATGTAATGATAAAGATAGCAAACAATGGTAGGTCTAAAAATCTACCACAAATACAAATTTGAGAACAAGTCATTACGTATAGATATTTATTGGTAAAATTTGATATCTGAAACTAAAATGATTATGTCAATTAATTTTCTTTTAGTATAATCAATCTAAAATTTCAAATCACTTTTTAGAGTTATTAAAATATAAACATATGTTTTAACTTCTTTCCAATACATTAATACTTTATCTCATAATCCTTATTTAAGCACACATTTCAAGTATATAAGTTTCCTTTACTCGCCATAATAGCCTTGATAGAGATAGAGAGATAGAAAGAGAGACAATCGTGGTCGTTTTTCTCCTTTTTTCTTTTTATTTATGCAATTTTTGTTTTCAAAACATTGACAATGCGCTTGCCAACTGCCTACTATGATAAACAATTTCCATAAATAATTAAATACATCTTTGATTTTTTTCTTACATAAACAGACTTTTTGAAAAAAAAATGTATTACCTTAAAAATGCATTTTGATTTGTTCAGAACGTTTTCTCATCATGCACTACGTATAATGAGCTGTATACATGATGTTGACAATGGGAATTCAATGAAAAAAAGTCGAGATGATGGAAGATTTATAGAATATCTCCTTGGAGATCCTGTTATCCATTCTGGTCGGCTTCTATTGAATCATGGGTATCTAAAAGATGCTATCAAAACAGAAAACAAAACATTTTTGGATAATGAAGTTGTAAAAGATGTTTTAAATGGAATGTGGTACGGAAAAGAAAAACTGACTATCCCTCGAGTAAGTTAGAACTTTTCTACTTTTTATGAATTTGTTTTGATAGAACGAAAATCCAATATTTCAAAGCTTATCTTTACTTTCAGGCAGCTATGTTTCTTTGTCTAGCTCTGCTGCATTTCATATTACTACCTGTTCTCATGATTACAATGGAACATCAGCCTTTGCAAAAGTAAGTAAAACACTAATCTGGTATGATCATTGGCATTTTTTGTATAATGTTTCATCATTGTTTTTCAAAATTCACAATAAAAATCCATAAAGGATATGAGAGGGACAATTCTAATTTAAAAGAGTGTTTTAAAGGAAACAATATCTATTTATTAGTAATTATATGTATGCAATGCAATTTTTTGGTCAAAATATTTTAAATTAATTTGAATAATTCATTTACAGGCTGTACAAACTTTATAATATCCCGTTTATGAAAGTGGCCAATAACTTGGTAAGATTTATCTATTGTTAATTTATCGTTTTTATGATCAAATTAATTGATTAATATTTCAATTCGTAAATTAAATATAATGTCAAGTTATATATGTTCCAATCTTTTCGTGACGAGATTAGAATTTATCAAAATAACATAAAGATAAACTTAGATAAAATAATATCTCATATACAGCTGTACATGCATTTCATTTGGAAAGACAAGCATTTCTGCAGATTTCACAACTATTGACGCATAGCTATACCTTTATATTGCATGACATTGATATTCTTTCTAATATTTATTTAAGAATGTAATTGCTTATTATAAAATTCAAGCTGTTCAATGTTAAACAATTCATTTTAAGGTTGGATTGTTTTGTCTTCTTTTGGGCTATGCGTATATGTTAATCTGCAGCCACGAGGAAAATATTTCTGATGCTGATGTGTTTCTTATTATTTGGATGGGAAGCTTCTTCATTGATGAAACCAAGCAGGTATTATAACTTTTGAAAGAAAATTTTGATTTTCCTGAAAATATTAAATATTTCTCGTAAAGAATACGTTTGCAGGCCTGGCCACAGACTAAATACACTTAAATCAAATTTAAACCAATTTGCAAATGTAGACTATTATGAATGTAATATAGAGTTTTGTCTTTTTATAGCTTATTGTTTACAGAAAAGCTATGCCTATACGAAAATTACAATTCCCTTTATTTTGACTATTTTCAAAATCAAGATTTTAATCTGAGGAGAAGGGGCACTAATCATTAATACAATTTAAATTGTGTGATAGGGTTTTCTTTACATGAGTATCAATAGCACAAATCGACAGATGAAGGTTCACATATTTATTTTATTCAAATAGTTAAAAAAAGTTGCAATTAAGGATAAATAACACAAACTTTTTTCAGAAATCAGTATTATTTCTCATAGATTTACATTTAAATTGACAATATGAATAATGTTTACCAAGTAGAGTGGGAGAATTTTATAAGATTTTGTCATAAAGTTAAAAAATTGTGCAAAATTTTGTATGGAATTATATAGAAGGCAAAATAAAATCTCAAATCTAAGCACCAAGGAAAACCTACGATTTTCTTTATGTTTCAGGGATTTATTATTTATGTCATTACAAATCAAAATCAGTCAAAAAATATATATCAAGCCGCGGATCCATTTTTTTGTTTGTGGTAAGTACCCTTAATAATTTATTCCCAGATATAACACTAAGATTCTTTAAGAAATATCCTATATATACATACAAGTAAGAAAATGTTTCGAAAAGATCATCGACCTATAATTATTTAAAGAAACAGCTAAATAAAAAGAATTAATCTATACGCAGTATTTATTATCGTTTTACTAACAGCGTGACAGTTTGGTTGATAGGGTGTGCTCACATTTTGTGTGCTTATTATCAATCTGCTCATCGATTGAATGTTTAATTTTAATGGAATAAATACTACTATGCATATGGAAACTCAGACTACAACAATACCCTGATAATACTGGCCAATCGCATTGAATGATTGTTCACCAGTAGGACATTTGTACTCACCAGGAACACGTGGTCTGTCAAAACCCGTTTTCTGTCCTCGAAAAAACATGCATTATATTTGTTGTGATTTGACAGGATGGGGTTTTATATACGTATAAGAGAATTTAAAGAATAGAATTATTAAGGCTACTCTGCTTGTGTTGTACTATGTAGCTATCAATATCATCATCATAGAGTGGAAAACTTGCTTTTTCCGTCCACATGTAATTGTTGTTTACTACATACTCATTCAATACGATTGGTCAGTATTGTCAGTGGTATTGCTGGGTTCTGCGTTTCATATGCGAAGTATTATTGATTCCATTAAAATCAAACATCCAATCGATTAGTAAAATGATAATCAAAATACAACATTTTACATCTGTAGCACGCCCTATCAAGCAAACTGTCCTGCTGTTTGTAAAACGATAATATGCCAACACTAACACACAGGCATTTAACAATCCGACCCTATAAAATACTGGTTCTACCACTTTCATTCAGGAATACACAATAGCTACAGGCTCATAAAATGACATTCATACCTATAATTAACGTGACACGGAACACCTTCCTATCCAGAATACAATACAAACACGATTACAATTAACGCGTATGATTGAATACATAGAAACAAAAGTATTTTAGCATTCTTCTTTAAATTATTGCTGTATTTGTTAAAGATGTAAAACACACGAACCCCAAAACTTTAATGTTTGCTATTTTTGTTTATTTTCATGCATGAATACATCCTATTATGAATATGTAATTTGGGACAAAAATTGTTGGAGTGGAATATGTGCAAGAAATTCTAAAAAAAAAAAATAATAAAATAAAATAAAAAAACCTTTTTCAGCAGATCACGAGTTAAAAAAATCAACTTGCAAACAATAATATGCCTAATTTAAAACATTTGAGATACACCCAAATGTTAAAAGGTAAACAAGTATTTAACACACAATAAAATGTTGTTTTAAAGGTACACTTCGATAAAAATAGTTTTGAAGAGCTTAAACTGAAAATAATGATTCATTTAAGCAATAAAAGCTGTGTTTTTTAAATCAATTTTTGAGGAAAATTCTAATCATATTGTTCTTGATAATTTTTTTCTTATACACACTTATGAGGGATATGGGCAAGGTTTTTTTGAATTCCTGATCTTTAAATAAGATTTAATTTTCTGTTTAGACATATCAAATATATTAAATTAAATACACATAATTTTTTTAGAATAATTTTTCATATGTCTACAATTTTTCTACAGCATTTGATTCTCAGCTCTGGTAAATTTTTCTTAAGTTATCCTATTTTCTAAATTCAATCGTAAAATAAACTGTTTATATTTATAAAGAGTATTTTAGTTTTCCCTTACTTAACACTTCGTTAACACAATTTTTATACATAGTATATCTGTATGTTTTATAAACTTTTTAGGTTTCCATTGCAATATGGAGAACGAAATTCACTGCATACATCAAGGATCCATGGAATATACTCGACTGGCTCTCAATGTTAACATTTACCTGTGGGATGCTGTTAAAGCTAGGAAATGGATTACATTATTACAACGCCTCCAAGATCCTTCTTGTTTTAGCCTTTATCATTCTAAGCATCCGAGTTTTTAATTTGTTCTGTATTTCTGAGCTTCTTGGGCCAAAACTTGTTATCATAAGAAAAATGGTAAATATCTTTAAATCTACAATAACGAGACTTCTATATATGTATCACATTTTGTTTCCAAAATTTAAAGTGTTTTACATGTACGTTGTGAAGATTTTTTTTACACACCAAGATCGATAGATCGGGGTGTATATTGTTTTTGTCCTGTCTGTCTGTTTGTCTTTTTATCTACTTATCTGTTTGTCTGTCTGTCTGTTGTCAACTTTAACCTTCGCAATAACTTTTGAACCGTGAGATATATAGAGAAAGTTACATACTTAAATCCATATCATATGTCATATCAGCCCGAGGGCTGATGTTACATATGATATGGATTTAAGTAACTATGTAGTATTCTATTTATCATATATTTAAAATACTTAATTTGCGAGTTCATATATGGTCATTGAAGAATGTATCGTGGTTGTTTATGATATTGTTCTTTAAAATCTAAAAGAACCAATTTTAGGTAACTGAAAAAAATTAAGACCACAAATGTCATTAATAATTATTTTATATGAATATTTAAATAAAATCAAGTAAATTAACTTTTAAACTTTATACAAACGTTACCTCCAGTTTGATATGGATTTTCGGCCTGCCGGTCAGATATGTGATTTGGATTTTCGGACCGGTCCGTGATATAGGGAATTGTAACGTCACCCGTATAACACTGTGCAGAAACGGTGTATTTACTACTAAGTATATGATAAAGAGACTTCATATATTTCCTATTCGGTATGCATACTTTACTAATTAAGTTTTTCACACCCTCACAGTTTAATTGTTTCAAAGTACAAAAACGTTATTTTTTTATTTAAAATATTTAAATTTATCAATCATTGCAAAAAAATAATAGGTCGCCATGTTATTTAAGATGGAAGACATAAATAAGCAGAATTTTATGTCAACATTATCAAAATCTTACATTTTTTGTAAACAGTGTTATAATAATTATGTAAAAACTGGTTCAAATGCATAATGCTAATGCTGAAAGTCCCAGAATAATTGATACTTATATGATACTTTTTAATTGTGAATATCAAGAAAACTATTTAACAATAGAAGTACAATAGTAAAAATGCCTGAATGAGGATAACCAGGAAGGAGTTATTTCCCTTGTCAACATTTTTCAAAAATCGATTAATGGACTAAATGTAGAAAATATACATTTTTAAAATTCTTCTATTTAACAAAATTTATCATTACACCTTTTGAAAAGCATTCTTCCAAAAATTATTGTTATATGGTATGAATTTAAATTAATAAGTTTTTGCAAAAACCTTTGACATCATACGAGGGTTGAAAGACCTTAAGCTCTTTCAAATGACACCAGGGTCATTGAACTTGT